CCTGAATGGTCCCCAGGCATACATAAATTCTTGGGGTGTGAGTTTTCGATTATATATATATATATATATATATATATATATATATATATATATATATATATATATATATATATATATATATATATATATATATATATATATATATATTATTAAATATGACCGAAAAAGTAAGATTAATAATTCTAACACGAATTTTCTCAATCTTTCGTACATTTCATTTCACTGTTGGAGGTAAATCAAAAATCAATTCTCCAAAATTCATTTTTATTTCTAGTCTGACGCGACACGAGCGCGTTTCGTAAAACTTATTACATTTTCAAAGACTTTAGTTCACAAATACACAACTGAATAGAACTTACGCATCTCCGATTTTATATCTACATTTGAGTGAGGTGGAAGGGGTGATGTGGCATTAACACAAGACAGAACAAGATGTGGTATTAATAGGGTATAATATATATATATATATATATATATATATATATATATATATATATATATATATATATATATGTCGTACCTAGTAGCCAGAACGCACTTCTCAGCCTATTATGCAAGGCCCAATTTGCCTAATAAGCCAAGTTTTCATGAATTAATTGTTTTTCGACTACCTAACCTACCTAACCTAACCTAACCTAACTTTTTCGGCTACCTAACCTAACCTAACCTATAAAGATAGGTTAGGTTAGGTTAGGTAGGGTTAGTTAGGTTCGGTCATATATCTACGTTAATTTTAACTCCAATAAAGAAAAATTGACCTCATACATAATGAAAAGGGTAGATTTATCATTTCATAAGAAAAAAATTAGAGAAAATACATTAATTCAGGAAAACTTGGCTTATTAGGCAAATCGGGCCATGAATAGTAGGCCAAAAAGTGCGTTCTGGCTACTAGGTACGACATATATATATATATATATATATATATATATATATATATATATATATATATATATATATATATATATATATATATGTCGTACCTAATAGCCAGAACGCACTTCTCAGCCTACTATTCAAGGCCCGATTTGCCTAATAAGCCAAGTTTTCATGAATTAATGTTTTTTCGTCTACCTAACCTACCTAACCTAACCTAACCTAGCTTTTTTTGGCTACCTAACCTAACCTTACCTATAAATATAGGTTAGGTTAGGTTAGGTAGGGTTGGTTAGGTTCGGTCATATATCTACGTTAATTTTAACTCCAATAAAAAAAAAATGACCTCATACATAGAGAAAAGGGTTGCTTTATCATTTCATAAGAAAAAAATTATAGTAAATATATTAATTCAGGAAAACTTGGCTTATTAGGCAAATCGGGCCTTGAATAGTAGGCTGAGAAGTGAGTTCTGGCTACTAGGTACGACATATATATATATATATATATATATATATATATATATATATATTAGTATATTTTGGTAGCAGTCTTTCCTGTAGACATATATTATTAAATATGACCGAAAAAGTAAGATTAATAATTCTAACACGAATTTTCTCAATCTTTCGTACATTTCTTTTCACTGTTGGAGGTAATTCAAAAATCAATTCTCCAAATTCATTTTTATTTCTAATCTGACGTGACACGAGCGCATTTCGTAAAACTTATTACATTTTCAAAGACTTTAGTTTACAAATACACAACTGAATAGAACTTACGCATCTCCGATTTTGTTTATATCTACTTTTGAGTTAGGTGGATGGGGTGAGGTGGCATTAATAGGGTATTAATTTCATCAACACAAGACAGAACAAGAGGTGGCATTAATAGGGTATTAATTTCATCAACACAAGACAGAACACGAAACAATGGGTTTTAAAATGGAAGTGATTGTAGAAAGCCTATTGGTCCATATTTCTTGATGCTTCTATATTGGAGCGGAGTCTTGAGGTGGGTAGAATATAGTTGTGCATTAATTGGCTGTTGATTGCTGGTGTTGACTTCTTAATGTGTAGTGCCTCGCAAACGTCAAGCCGCCTGCTATCGCTGTATCTATCGATGATTTCTGTGTTGTTTACTAGGATTTCTCTGGCGATGGTTTGGTTGTGGGAAGAGAATCTCTTCCCGGTCATATTTAATAATATATATATATATATATATATATATATATATATATATATACATATATATATATATATATATATATATATATATATATATATATATATATATACATATATATATATATATATATATGTCGTACCTAATAGCCAGAACTCACTTCTCAGCCGACTATGCAAGGCCCGATTTGCCTAATAAGCCTAGTTTTCATGAATTAATGTTTTTTCGACTACCTAACCTACCTAACCTAACCTAACCTAACGTTTTCGGCTACCTAACCAAACCTAACCTATAAAGATAGGTTAGGTTAGGTTAGGTAGGGTTGGTTAGGTTCGGTCATATATCTACGTTAATTTTAACTCCAATAAAAAAAAATTGACCTCATACATAATGAAATGGGTAGCTTTATCATTTCATAAGAAAAAAATTAGAGAAAATATATTAATTCAGTAAAACTTGGCTTATTAGGCAAAATGGGCCTTGCATAGTAGGCTGAGAAGTGAGTTCTGGCTACTAGGTACGACATATATATATATATATATATATATGTATATATATATATATATATGTTGTACCTAGTAGCCAGAACGTACTTCTCAGCCTACTATGCAAGGCCCAATTTGCCTAATAAGCCAAGTTTTAATGAATTAATTGTTTTTCGACTACCTAACCTACCTAACCTAACCTAACCTAACCTAACTTTTTCGGCTACCTAACCTAACCTAACCTATAAAGATAGGTTAGGTTAGGTTAGGTAGGGTTGGTTAGGTTCGGTCATATATCTACGTTAATTTTAATTCCAATAAAAAAAAATTGACGTCATACATAATGAAATGGGTAACTTTATCATTTCATAACAAAAAAAATTAGAGAAAATATATTATTTCAGGAAAACTTGGCTTATTAGGCAAATCTGGCCTTGCATAGTAGACCAAAAAGTGCGTTCTGGCTACTAGGTACGACATATATATATATATATATATATATATATATATATATATATATATATATATATATATATATATATATATATATATATATATATATATATATATATATATATATATATATATATATATGTCGTACCTAATAGCCAGAACGCACTTCTCAGCCTACTATTCAAGGCCCGATTTGCCTAATAAGCCAAGTTTTCATGAATTAATGTATTTTCGTCTACCTAACCTACCTAACCTAACCTAACCTAGCTTTTTTTGGCTACCTAACCTAACCTTACCTATAAATATAGGTTAGGTTAGGTTAGGTAGGGTTGGTTAGGTTCGGTCATATATCTACGTTAATTTTAACTCCAATAAAAAAAAATTGACCTCATACATAGAGAAAAGGGTTGCTTTATCATTTCATAAGAAAAAAAATATAGTAAATATATTAATTCAGGAAAACTTGGCTTATTAGGCAAATCGGGCCTTGAATAGTAGGCTGAGAAGTGAGTTCTGGCTACTAGGTACGACATATATATATATATATATATATATATATATATATATATATATATATATATATATATATATATGTCGTACCTAGTAGCCAGAACGCACTTCTCAGCCTACTATGCAAGGCCCGATTTGCCTAATAAGCCAAGTTTTCATGAATTAATTGTTTTTCGACTACCTAACCTACCTAACCTAACCTAACCTAACTTTTTCGGCTACCTAACCAAACCTAACCTATAAAGATAGGTTAGGTTAGGTTAGGTAGGGTTGGTTAGGTTCGGTCATATATCTACGTTAATTTTAACTCCAATAAAATAAAATTGACCTCATACATAATGAAATGGGTAGCTTTATCATTTCATAAGAAAAAAATTGGAAAAAATATATTAATTTAGGAAAACTTGGCTTATTAGGCAAATCGGGCCTTGAATAGTAGGCCAAAAAGTGAGTTCTGGCTACTAGGTACGACATATATATATATATATATATATATATATATATATATATATATATAGTACCTAATATTTTCAATTATTTCTTTTCAAATTGGTTTCTTTGAATTAATATTATGATGTTATGAATACTGAATTAGTTATATTAGGTTAGGTTAAGTTTAATCAAATTTCTATGTTAGTTTGAAGTGAAATTAAAAAAATAAAATATACAATATAAGAAAGCTTTATCATTTCATAAGAAAACAATTAAGAAAATATTTTTAAGAAAACTCAGCTTGTTAGACAATTTGGGCTTTGGCCTAATTTATATTATATATAAATATATATATATATATATATATATATATATATATATATATATATATATATATATATATATATATATGAATTTTTTTTGTATGGATGTACAGGTATTAAGAAGTCACATAAAAAATGTTTTCCTCTGGTGAATTTATTAAAATATGCAGTTTTGAAGATACATATTACACTTCATATTTTTAGGAACAGAGGTTTATATAATTAATAATGTAGTATTATAGCTATACAGTATAAGATATATATAATGGCTTATGTTAGTATACTAGTAGTATGACTTGAATAAACAGTTATAATAGAAAGCTGTGTGGTTGGGGTTTAAATTTATAAAACCATTAGTTATTATTTACAGTACTATGTGTAAATAGAAATATAACGTGCAGTTGTCAATACCGGACCACATATACGAGATATAATATAATATCAGGCACAATTCTGGGGTATATTTCGTGATTATGTTGAATGGTTGAATGAATCCCTTATATATATTGTATAAATGCAATCGGGTGAGGCAATTGAGAGTGTGAGGATAAAATGTGATGGAGTAAGTAAGTGTAGATGTAGTAGTAGTATATGGTGGAGGAGTGAGCGGGGGGTGAGAGAATGTGATGGAGTAAATAAGTGTAGATGTAATATATGTAGTATATGGTGGAGGAGTGAGCGAGCGAGGGGTTTGAAGAGTCCCCTGGCGGTGGGTGCGCGACTCCGGCGTGACGTCATGCGCGGGGAGTCAGTCACCAACACTGGCCACCGCTGACGGCTCCACTCTACTCTCTCTCTCACTATTTATACATTTGGAAAATGGAGTGAATTCCGTGCGGGGTCTACCCGCTGTGTACAAAAACTTTGTGTGTGTGGCCGCACGCAGGATGAGTGCAATCACAGTGCCGGATGCTACGTGTAAGTCTTGTAATTTTGTGATTCAAATATGGGGCATCCAGCCTTCAAGAGCTTTGTTCATCATGGCGGCTGCGCGCAGCTCTGGAGCAGGATGCGCAGCGCCACACCAGCCTCGTCCTCCTCCCCATGGGGGATTTGACGCCGCCTCCACTACACACCAGTAACATGAATAATAATAAAGTTAACGTAACTGGGTTTGGTGGAGTAATAGTGAGGAAGAGAAGGATTGGAGTGAAGTAGGAGTGGTCGTATCCCTGGCAGCGGGGCAGGAGAGGGATGGGACCGGCCATACACCGGCTGGTCAACCTTCCTCATGAATTAATTCCTCGTGCCCTTCACCCCGGAAGATGTGGCTTCTATCACATGTAACCGATTTTTAATGACAGTAAAGAATACCTGTAGGAAACTGTATTGCTGAATGTTAGCGTACAAGGTGATAACCTTTGTTAACAAGGGGTGGGCTGTCAGACGATGGTCAAGGGGCATGTAACGAGCCCTGCCACGGAAGGTCAAGACCTGGCAGGCTCACCTGCCAGTCTCTACCTCGTGTGGAGTAATGCTCTCTTATAAGGGTTTTTTTTTAGGGGCAGTGTAATGAAGGGTTAGGGGGCTATGTTATGGTAGGTTAAGAGAGGGCTGCATTACAGGTTAGGTTAGGGAAGGGCTGCATTACAGGTTAGGTTAGGGAAGGGATGCATTACAGGTTAGGGGAGGGGAGGACTGCATTACAGGTTAGGTTAGAGGAGGACTGCATTACAGGTTAGGTTAGGGGAGGGCTGCATTACAGTAGGTTAGGGGAGGGCTACATTACAGGTTAGGTTTAGGGGAAGGCTGCATTACAGGTTAGGTTAGCTTAGCGGAGGGCATCATTACAATGGGTTAGGTTAGGGGAGGGCTGCATAACAGGTTAGCTTAGGGTAGGGCTGCATTATAGGTTAAGTTAGGGGAAGGCTGCATTACAGGTTAGGTTAGCTGAGGGGAAGGCTACATTACAGGTTAGGGGAGGGCTGCATTACAGGTTAGGTTAGGGGAGGGGAGGGCTGCATTACAGGTTAGGTTAGCTGAGGGGAAGGCTACATTACAGGTTAGGTTAGCTTAGGGGAAGGCTACATTACAGGTTAGGTTAGCTGAGGGGAAGGCTACATTACAGGTTAGGTTAGCTTAGGGGAAGGCTACATTACAGGTTAGGGGAGGGCTGCATTACAGGTTAGGTTAGGGGAGGGGAGGGCTGCATTACAGGTTAGGTTAGGGGAGGGGAGGGCTGCATTACAGGTTAGGTTAGGGGAGGGGAGGGCTGCATTACAGGTTAGGTTAGGGGAAGGGAGGGCTGCATTACAGGTTAGGTTAGGGGAGGGCTGCATTACAGGTTAGGTTAGGGGAGGGGAGGGCTGCATTACAGGTTAGGTTAGGGGAGGGCTGCATTACAAAGGGTTAGGTTAGGGGAGGGCTGCATTACAAAGGGTTAGGTTAGGGGAGGGCTGCATTACAAAGGGTTAGGTTAGGAAAGGGCTGCATTACAAAGGGTTAGGTTAGGGGAGGGCTGCATTACAAAGGGTTAGGTTAGGAAAGGGCTGCATTACAAAGGGTTAGGTTAGGGGAGGGCTGCATTACAAAGGGTTAGGTTAGGGGAGGGCTGCATTACAAAGGGTTAGGTTAGGGGAGGGCTGCGTTACAAAGGGTTAGGTTAGGGGAGGGCTGCATTACAAAGGGTTAGGTTAGGGGAGGGCTGCATTACAAAGGGTTAGGTTAGGGGAGGGCTGCATTACAAAGGGTTAGGTTAGGGGAGGGCTGCATTACAAAGGGTTAGGTTAGGGGAGGGCTGCATTACAAAGGGTTAGGTTAGGGGAGGGCTGCATTACAAAGGTTTAGGTTAGGGGAGGGCTGCATTACAAAGGGTTAGGTTAGGGGAGGGCTGCATTACAAAGGGTTAGGTTAGGGGAGGGCTGCATTACAAAGGGTTAGGTTAGGGGAGGGCTGCATTACAAAGGGTTAGGTTAGGGGAGGGCTGCATTACAAAGGGTTAGGTTAGGGGAGGGCTGCATTACAAAGGGTTAGGTTAGGGGAGGGCTGCATTACAAAGGGTTAGGTTAGGGGAGGGCTGCATTACAAAGGGTTAGGTTAGGGGAGGGCTGCATTACAAAGGGTTAGGTTAGGGGAGGGCTGCATTACAAAGGGTTAGGTTAGGGGAGGGCTGCATTACAAAGGGTTAGGTTAGGGGAGGGCTGCATTACAAAGGGTTAGGTTAGGGGAGGGTTTCATTACAAAGGGTTAGGTTAGGGGAGGGCTGCATTACAAAGGGTTAGGTTAGGGGAGGGCTGCATTACAAAGGGTTAGGGGAGGGCTGCATTACAAAGGGTTAGGTTAGGGGAGGGCTGCATTATAAAGGGCTAGGTTAGGGGAGGGCTGCATTACAAAGGGTTAGGTTAGGGGAGGGCTGCATTACAAAGGGTTAGGTTAGGGGAGGGCTGCATTACAAAGGGTTAGGGGGTAATGAAGGTCTAGGTTAGGGGCTGTGTTTTGAAGGGTTTGGCTAAGGACTGTGTTTTGTTTTTTACCACAGACGTGGCCACACATTTACAGTGGTAACCAGCACATAGAGTATACATGTTCTAATGTCGTCCATTGGCAGGGTTACAGATCTGTTAGAGATAAAGTTTAATGATTTATTGAGCATTCAACCACAGAAAGTAATTATAGAGCTTTTAGTGTTGACCACCATTCAGAAATACAGTATTTACATTTGTCCAACAAAAATTGTTTGAGGACAGTATGGTTTTTTACACATAATGTGATTAATGTACATTTACAAATGTGAAATGCAGTTATGACCAATTTACACCTGCCTACGTCTCCTACTTTGACAAGGTAAAATAGCTGCTATAGAAGCTTGAGTGTTATTAAGCACTTAACCACAGAAGGAGATTAAGATGTTCTTTTACAAGCTCAAGTTATTGTTACATATACAGTACTGTACAATATTACTTAAACTGATGCATTACATAGCCAATCTTAGGTGCAAATCCAGTATATACAGTGTTCCAATATTCAGTATATACAGAGATCAAATCTCAGCCCAGAGTGGTAAAAGTTAGTTTATGGGACAAAAGTCAACATGGGACATTCTACAATATAATATTCAATTGAATAATGGAATGCATATTTTCTCTTTCACAAAGTTGACACATGGTGTATTTGACATTTGAGTTTTGAGAAAGCTGCCAAATACATTTATATCCCCAGGCATATTCTGGCCACTATAACATCACAAATGCAGAGTTCCTGCTCTTATTAGTTGCATATATAAATGTCTCCTTACGGTACAGTATTCATTATAATGTATAATGCTATGGCTTTCAGGTGTTGGGGAATTAATTAGGTCAGTAAGATTTTCATAAAATATTTTAGTATTCTCTTTGACACTACTAATGAAACATTCATACTAATTTCTCCTACTGGTCTACTACAGGCTGTATTTGCAAGTATGTCAACAGTATCATGCTTTGAGATGCCAACATGTGATGGTATCCAAAGGAATTTAATTTCAAATTATTTTCTTTAGCAGTTAAAAACATTCATTTGAATATCACTACTGTTTTCTGGGTGATACTACCCTGTGTGTTCAATGGCAGGAGTTCACTCTAAGTCACAGTATATAATTCCCATGCCTTTGTGCTTTAAAAATTTATTGGCAAGTTATATGCCTACAAGTTTTGTTTGAGTCATACTAGCCCAGTCATTGATATGCTTCACTGTTGTCTGAATGAGAGAAGATTGTGTAAATATATTACATTTGCATCCAGTACATCTTCCATCTTCTACAGAGGCATTGCTGATACACATCGTTAACTATAACGTGAGCACTCGGTGGTGTTTTTCATTTGTAACTGTTGTAATAACATTGTGTGTACACTATCTTGGGGGCATTTGCAAAACCAACCAACTGATAGATCTCAGGTATCCCATGGGTTAATTGGTTGATGAATTATTGACTTGGGTACACATTTAACATTTTGATTTGGCTACCTCGTAAAACCAAAATGTGTAAAAAATTGTCCTCTCCTATAGTCCTTGGGTTAGTGTAGCACATCAGAGCTTAATTTGAAATTGTATGTGCTGCTGAGATCTACTCAGTGCCTTCACACTGAAAACTGTGCTAATGGACACAATTCTCACTTATGGTAGGTAATTTTATCTCTGCTATCATACGGTATTAACTATTCTTGTGAACTTTGGAGCCCCAAAGATGACAAGCTTAGCTTCAATTGCAAAGTTACCAGGGGGGGTTTGGGAGTTCACACTTCTTGGGGTTTCTTTCTTTTAAGGGGCCACACCAAGGTTGTGTATAGGCTTCATCTCCTTTATGGGGCCCTGGTGTTTGGGCAGCCTGGGATTATTTGGTTTTGGGAGGTACAGTGGGTCCAAAACTAGCTCTTGCTCTGGTGGCAATTTGTGCCCTCCTTTGCTGCATTTTCTCATTTCAGGGGTTGGTACTGATTTTCTACCCTTTGTCAGCACTGACTCCAGCTTGTAATTGATAGTGTCATCCTAGGCTCGACCATGCCTCCGCTTTGTTACACAATCACCCACATTCATCCTCTTTATCACCCACATTCATCCTCTTTATCACCCACATCCATCCCCCTTATCACCCACATCCATCCCCTTCATCCAGCCCATCCTCCAAAAATGGGGTGGTAAATGTAAGGAGACAAATAAGTGCAATTATGTATAGCAGCCTGAGGGGCCTATAGCAAGCAGAAGTACAAACATGTTGTACAAGCAATCTGTCAGGCACACAATACATGGTAACATGACGTACTGGCATATAACAACAAAAAAGGAAATAGTTATATCAAGAAGCATTAAATATGCCAAAGGTGGAAGATAGAAGAAAGAGGCAATATAACTACATATATAAAATACTATACTAATAAGAATTGACAAAATTGGCAAAGGAATTCCTGAAACCAGCAACATCACAAAACAAGAGGACAGAGATT